TTTTTTTAGATCTTTCTGAGCAGAACATGCCCCATAATTTTTATGATGTTGATTCTCGACTCATTTTTCTCCCAAGCATAGAAATTGTCATCACAAACTAGAGAACCAGTCCAGTGGGCCATTTGCTGGTCCATAAGCGAGGGCTTGCTATGGGGATCTACAGACCTGTAACTCAACCCATAGCATCAGGTTTGCGTGGTGTGGGGTGTGCGCCACGGTGACGTGGCTCTGTTCCCAGATTCAGGCTGGTTTGCAGATATATTCCCCAGAATTGTAATATGCATTAGCCAGCACTGAGCTGTTTTGGTCCTGCTCTCTTCCATGTTAATTGGCTAACAATTTGGATAATTTGGAGCATCTGTTCCATCCAAATGACATGGTGTTTCATTTCCTCTAAAGAACCCAGTGTGTGTTCTTTCCAAAAAGGGATAAATTTAATGTTTATGCAACAGCCAAACATACTAAATTGGCCAAAATTATGCTTCCCCCTTATCAGCTTTCCAATTAATTCTGCTTTTTATAGGTAAATTATGTCATCAAGTTATTTGTGGCTTCAGGAACCTAGTGAGAGCTTCATTCCCTTTTATATCAAGGCAGTGTAAACTGCTCTGGGTGTATAAAAGGGATTGTAAATGGATGTTAAACCCCTTTCCAGCCCTCTGATGTTGTGGTGTCCCTCACTGGGTCTGACTTCCAGCCCTTCCTTTAGGAACAGGCAGAAAACGCCAGCTGAGCCCATGGGCAGCGAGTCCGAGCTGCGGGACCTGAGCGTTTTCCAAACACATTTACACTTTTCAAGCTTCCGATTACTTCTGCCTTCCCTAAGCCTGAAGGTTGCTGGGTTGTCCCTCCCTTCCCTGCTTGTCCATGGGCAGCAGGTTGCCGTTTTCCTGTCCCCTATTCCCGCCCGGCTTCCCGGTTCCCACAGGAACCGGCCATGCCCGCTGGTTGAAACGGAAACGGGACAGAGATAGCAGCGGGAGGACACGACAATGTCCACTTGATGTCATGTCAGCTTCGTCTTTTCAGGTCAAGTTTAGACCTTGCTTTCCCCTCTCTGGGACCTTGCTTTCCCCTTGCTGGGTAGGAGTGGGGGTCAAGTTTAGACCTTGCTTTCCCCTTGCTGGGTAGGAGTGGCTTCCCGTGCTGTGCGGTGACGTGACTGCTCCCTGTGCCCCTGCAAACCCCAGGCTGGGGCTGGGAAACGTGATGGCAATGTTAGAGGATTGCATTTTGTATCCACATAGTCAGCAAATTAATGCAACCTTTTTCTTTTCCTCTTTTCCTTGCAGTTTTATCTGCAGGCCAGATTCACGTGGAAGGGAGCCCGTCTGCTCCGTCCCCTCCTCCAGTTCACCCTCATCATGATGGCGTTTTACACCGGCCTGTCCCGGGTGTCAGACCACAAGCATCACCCCACCGATGTGCTGGCTGGCTTTGCACAGGGAGCCCTGGTGGCTTACTGTGTGGTGAGTATGGCAAACCATGTGGTCAATGGCAGTGGGGGTGCTGGGGGAATAGCGGGCACCTCCCTATGTTCATGTAGCTGCATCCTGGGGTGCATTAAAAAGAGCATGGCCAGTAGGTTGAGGGAGGTTATCCTCCTACTCTGCCCTGGTGAGGCCACATCTGAAGTACTGTGTCCAATCTTGGGCTCCCCAGTTCAAGAAGGACAAGGACCAACTGGAGAGAGCCCACTGAGATGATGGGAGGACTGGAACATGTCCTGTACGAGGAAAGGTTGAGAGAGCTGGGGCTGTTCAGCCTGGAGAAGAGGAGACTGAGGGAGGATCTCATTAACATGTATAAATCTCTAAATGGTGCAGACTCTTCTCGGTTTTGCCCAGTGACAGGACAACGGGCAATGGTCACAAACTGGAACACAGGAGGTTCAGCTTAAACATAAGGAAAAACTTCTTTACTGTAAGGGTACCAGAGCATGGCCCAGGCTGCCCCGAGAGGTTGTGAAGTCTCCTTCTCTGCAGACATTCAAACCTGTCTGGATGTGTTCCTGTGTGATCTTCTCCAGGTGACCCTGCTCTGGCAGGGGGGTTGGACTGAGTGACCTTCAGAGGTCTCTAGCAACCCCCACCAGTCTTGTGATTCTGTAATCCTTCATTACAGCTGGGAGCATGGCAGGAGGCAAACAGCACGTTAGGGTTAAAATGCAACATTTAGCACTTTTCTGCCAGCCTTGAGCTCCTGGAGGCTCCTGGGCAAGAGGGCCCGTTCACCCTGAAATGCTGAAAGGACATTCAGACAAGGGAGGGTATAAAGTGTTGGCTCGTTTGCAAGTCTTTCCGCCAGGACCCAAGCAGGGAGTCTGGAGTGTTTGGGATTATGGCTTTTCCCTGCACAATTCAGCCAAAATCCCTCCCCTGGGAGTGGGAACTGGTGCCTGCCCGGTGAGGGGAGGCAGGGTGCTTTCACTGGGCAGTGGGGTTTTAATAGAGCAAACCAGCTCATGAGAAAACAGCTTGTCTGTGGCTGCTGAGCTTGTTCTCAGGCAATTTGCTTTCCAAAGAGTGACCTGATTGCACAGCCCTGTAACTCGAAGTGACATATGAGGGTATGTGGGGGAGGCAGGCTGGGGAGCACTGGGTCGGGTGGCTGCCTCGCATAGAGACAAAAGGGCTGGGGAGTTCTGGCTGTTCCTATGTACAAACTCTTGGAAGCAAGGTTTTAATGGCTTACCACTTTCTTTTGGGTAGGTTTTTTGGGTTTCGGGGTCTTTTTTGTTGTTTTTAACTGATCTAAAAGTAAAGCAGCCCTAGAGGCAAGGAATTAAGTTTGCTAATGTTACATTATGCGAGGAGAGAAAATAGGTTATTTATGTACTTTCCACCCGTTGATAATATTCCAAAGCCAAGACAAAAATGTCATTGTCGGGAAGTTTTTATGAAGTATTATTAACTCTCTGAGCAGTCACTGCTGGGTTTTGCCGTTGCCTTATGCCAACGTCCCATGGCGGGGCAGGCAGATTCAGAGAGGGAAACTAGAGAAGTGTGTGTGATACAGATGTGTGCTGCTGCTGCAACGCCTGTATCCTTCATACTGATATTGTCAGGGTGGTTCTCCAAGTTTCAACTCTTGGTTTGTCAAGACACCAAGTGCACATTGCCATGCAGTGTTACAAGGTTGGAGTTTACCTCACTGTGTGCCTTCCTGCTTGGGAAGTGGGACACCAGCAGCATACAGGGGGAGTAGGGACCAGACGATCCATGCATGGATCCCAGTAGTGGTTTCAGAAAGACAATAGCTCTCCGGATGCTCGAGACAGGCGTCCGGATGCTTCCTGGCTGGGACACGCAGCAGGGCTGGCCATCCCCTCCCGGCCCTGCAGCAGCTGGGAGCTGTGTTGGGAAGGGGAGGCTGCGGCGGTGCTGGGCAGGTTTTCCTGTGTCGAGGTGAGCTGACATGGGAAGTAGCTGCCTGGAGTTTCACAGGCAGATGTGGGTTCAACTGCGAGCCCAGGACAACTTGCACTGTTCTTCCCAGTCGGCCCGTGGAGGGGACAGTTTCCTCTGCACTCTTTGCAGGCATGGCTTGGCAGCTGGGGACATCTCGGGCAGCAGCTTTAGGACTTGGGGCAGGTTTAAACCCAACCCTTGTCCTGTTTCATCAGTTTGTGAGGAACTGTCAGTGTGTTCTTGTTCTCCCAAACTCAGCTTTGCTGGCATGAGGAGGGCCCAGAAGGACCAGCAGGCTTTCTTCCCTTTTGGGAGGTGGCAGTGAGGGACAAGAGGAGGAGTCACCTCAAGACTCCCTGGAGTTTGCATTAAATGTATAGTTTAGCACCTTTTTGCTAAAATTACTGGTATATCAAAGCAATTAGTGGTATGTCCTAGGGTTCCTTTCCCAGCTCTTGTGTGTGGGATGCTCTGAAGCAGAGGGAGGGACCTGGAGACATCACCTCCAACCCACCCTGGGTGCTCTCAGATACCCCTTCCCCCAGCAAAGCCTTCAAGAGCCCGCTCTGATGATAGTCAAGGGCTGTTAAAATACCGTAGTTATCAGGCTGTAATTTTCTGTAGAAACCAATTGTGGGTTTCATCTCTGAGGGCTGCCAGAGCTTCAATCCAGGTTGTGCTGCAGCAGACACGTTTGTCTTCCCATGCCTGAAATAACAAGCAGAAGACATTAGTGTCAAGCGCTTCCAGCTGATGAAACATTTGGACTGGGATCCAGAGTGAAATATGATGAGGATTTCTTAAATGGGAATGGTTTTTATGCGCGTTGTAGGCAGGCTGCTATGTGTTGTGTAGTTTATGTCTCATCTGACAGGTAGAAAATGGGAGACTTTGGAAGGATGTGCTCCTGGTGTTGCTCTGGTTAGCTTAGATGAGTTGTTTTAACCTCTCTTTACATGATCAAAGTTTTCTTCAACGTAACAAAAAGGAATAGGAATTGTTCAGTGGCAATATAAAATATTGGCTTACTTTTTATAATACGTGCTCAGTCTTCTGCCATCGAGTTTTCTTTATGGGTGGAGAGCACCTTCTACAGGAAATGGAGCTAATCCAAGTGAAAAACTTTGCACGTTTATTAGTCCTTTTTTGTGTTAAACAGCTCAAGCATTAGGAGGATTTAACACACTGGTTTAACCCCCAAAGATCACGTTTCATGATTCCTATAAGTGTTTATATAACCTCCAGCCATGTTAAAGTGAAATACAGTTTAAAGAAAAATGAAACCTCCTACCCAGTCTCTGAATTAAACCCTGAAAAGCAGCAAGCAAGACAGAAAAGGCTAAAATACCCAAGATGACACTCCACCGTAACTCATTCCTGTCCAAAATAAGGACCAGACTCGGTGTAATCCCCATATGCTTCTTGCACTCAGCAATCTCCCCCCATAAATTGATTTGTCATGGCTATCTTGGTGCAGAAATTGGACATCTTTTTGATTGAATCCAGCTCTCTGAGGTGGGCAAGTGAGTGAGATGGCATCAGAAATGTGCCGAGCCAGCTGAAAAGGAGGTTTACATTTATTAATGACCCAAAAGAAAACCATTGCAAGAGCAATTCAGCATGTTTTTACAACTGTGATGCTGCAGCAAGGGGCCAGACTCCAGCTTGCGATCCTCTATGGGTTCAGCTGGGTTTAACCTGTTATTTAACCAAATGCTGCCGCTTGAATGCCCTGTAAACAACTTTATCAGCTCTGTTATACGACTCGGCAGCCAGACACCAGGACATACACCAAAAAAACCAAAAAGCTGTTTTAGATGTCAGTTCCTTTTCTGCTTCTCCATGAAGCAATAAAAGCCGAGCAACAACAGCTCAGATTTCTGCATCCTGGGTTACAATTGCAGGAGTAAATTGCCACTTAGAGCAGCTTCACTGTTCAGCTCAGTTCCTTATCTGCCCATGCTGATAGGGACTTGCAAAAGTTGTTCCTAAGGACAACTAAACCTGCTATGTAGGGTGCTGGGTAGCTAGAAAACAGGGAGATGCAGATGGGGAAAGCCTTTGATGTCTCCGTGTCCAGCCTGGATGTGCTAATCTAATATTATTCCTTAGAGAACCTTGGGTTTATTTTCTTTCCCTGATTTATCTTGTTGCTTAAATGTTGCATTCGAGTACTGTGAGAGCAAACTCAAATGTGCTGCTATTTCCTATGACCCCGTGCTGCTCCTTCCAGGCCTTCGGCTCAGCAAACCCATGGCTTGGTCCAAATTATTGGTGTTAAAAGATATCTGGGATAAGCCAGTGAATTCAGGCTGGCAGAGGCAGTCGGCAGCAGGACCAATGTTAACTGGTACCAAAACCCCAACCAAAATGATGAATCCTCGTCACTTTTTGCCCCGTTGGGAGGATCCATGCTGCCTGACTCCTTGCCTATCTCGTGCAGGGCTGCATTTTGGCAAGGGAGAAAGTGCCGTGGTCCTGGAGGACCGATAAGCTTTGTGCAGCAGCCGCCAAGGGAGTCTGTGGAAGTTTCCTCCCAGCACTTTGTTTCTTATTGTGTTGCTACCTCCCGAAATTGCCAAGCGCTGGCTTTTTCACATCCGGGAGTGGGGTTACATCACAGGATATTTAGGAAGAAGTAGTCAGGAATAGCTCCTCCTCTCCTTGGGCTTTGGCTTCAGGATCACACCCCAGCTCTGTACCAGTGCCTTGGTGGGGCATGAGGAGAGCATCGCTCCCCGTTGACTCATTGCTGATAAATTTGAATACAGCTTTGATTTGAAAGCTTTTAATTGCCCGCCTGATGTCCGGCTGAATGGATTGTTTCACACTGATTCCATCCCTGAAACCACTCACCGTGAGTCAGGCCCGCCCTTTGGTGACCCTTGTTGTTTTACCGGAGTGGGGGCCATGTATCTGTTTCCTGGCTTTTCAACCCGCTCGGCAGAGGTTTGGGCACTGCACTCGGTGATTGTGCAGGGAGAAATGAAATTGGTCTGTAATGCTATATGCTCTGTAATGCTGTATGCCGTGTTTTAGAAGGTCTGAGCCTTTTTCCATATCGTACAGAAAGGTGGTAGCAGGCACTGAGGATTTCACAGCTATTGGTGTTAACACAGGCATTCGATAGCACAAGAAGTGCTATTTTTGGAACTTAAAGATATGTGTATCTGTAATGCAGGTTTTCTGTAAGGCAGGTTTTTTAACAAAGCATCACCCAGTGTGGCTAAGTTTGCCTTTTCCACTTATTCCTACAGGTGTTCTACGTCTCAGATCTCTTCAAGCCCAAGATAAAGACTTGCCTGCCTCCACCACCCATCCGGAAGGAGATCCTTTCACCTGTGGACATCATTGAGCGAAATAACCATCACAATATGGTGTAGACCTTCAAGAAATCAGATGGATGTTGTATTTTATTTTAACTTTTTTTTTTTTTTTGCAAAAAATGACTGCTGACAGCAACTACCTGCTGCTCTCAAATCTCATCAGACAGTAGAATGTAGGGAGAGACTTTCTTGCCTGACCAGTAAAGTCTTGCTCTGTGGTCTTTTCAACTTGTGACATTTGGATGACAGGGGTGGTGGTCAACTAAGTCAAAAGTGACAGTGGGAAAGAAGGAAAGAAAGAACAAAACCGCAATAGACAAAAGCCGAACAAACAAAGAGAGGTGCCGGAGTTCTGGATGTGCAATTGGTTTGAGTGTTCATGTTGTAGTGAACGCCAAATTGTTCATAGCCTAATGAACACTAAGGGATTTTTGGAAAGCTGGCCATCTTTAGATATTTTTTTTTTTTACTACGAAGATTTTCCAATGCCTGCGAGAAAAAAAAACCCAAACAACTCATGACTAAATGGTATAGCACTATATACGAGAAACAGCACTGAGTCAAGATCTGGGGTTGGTTTGTAAGAGTTGCTTTTTTTTTCTCTTTTTGATAGTAGTTTATTTTTTGCCTCCTCTATTCCATACTGTGACTTAGTTTAGAAGAAGCTTGCCTAGTCCAAGGTCTCTGAAGGGTCTCTGGTCACACTACACACCTTTACCGAGCAGTCTTGAGACACGTGGTGAGTAACTCCATCCTCCGTGCAGAGAAGCCACATTTCTCCCTCTCCGCTCGCTCCCTGGCAAGGATTCACCCTGCCCGAGCCCCCAGGTGCACACAGCCCCTACAAATGGCCCTTCATGAGAAGATCATCCTCTGCTTCCTGGCTATATACCCCCCTCCCCCCCAAAAACAAAATCCCAGCAGATTTTCTGGAGCTGGCAGTTCGCAAGTAGGTAGTGGCGGCTCTGCCGAAGATGCATTCGCACTACGACCTCGGGGCTGAGTCCCGGGGAAACTTTTTGATTCTGCCATTTCGGGACGGGCTGCTGGGCGGCACGTCCCAG